ATCTATGGAGATAAAATACTATCAAAAATGTTACAAATGCGTGTTTAACGTTTTGTCTGTAACAAGCGATTTGTGTGTGTGTGTGTGTCATGTTGTTCACAAATGCGTGCTGTACAAACTGCACATAAAACACATTTTACAAATGCCTAAAATCGATTTTTTTTCCTGTGCAATTCTTTAGAAAGTACTTACACATTGTTACCTACGCATGCGTGGATCGTCTAACACACGCACTCTCAAAAATTCACGATTCACGAATGCACGGTGCGTTTAAGGACACGTGGAAAACTCGGACATCTGAGTTTCCAAACCTGTTTCCCAAGCAAAAGTGTTTACACAACGCTATTACAAATGGACATTACATAAAATAAACAGAAATATCTAATACATAACAGGATTTCACAGAGGACATTCCAGTTGTCTGCAGTTTGTGGTGCATGTTCTACATTTTTATATATTTAGAATTTAGAAGTTATGAAGCTAAAGTTAATGTTCCGCCCTGCGAAGTTTATAGTATTTCAGTAGGGCATATTTTAGTGATGCACATATTCCTCCCGACGGAGTTTGTTGTTGTTTTTCAGTGGGACATGTTTTAGTGATACACACCGCTAGTAAGTTTAGCATGAAAACAGTCACAGGTTGTCTCTCCTTCGAACCTATGTATCGAACCATCCACTTATCTAGCATAGCACGACAAACTGTGGAGCATATATTTAATATCAGTGGCGGGCCGTCAGGGCCAGCAAGGCCTTTTCTGCTGGCCTAAACACTGTTAGAAGCACTGACCTACATTTTTCGTCCTGGCTCCCCCAATATATATATATATATATATATTGGGGGGCGGGGCTGATTCAGTTTTTCCTTTCCTTATTATCTCTGCTTTTGTGACACTAAATTACTGCTGCGTAGCCTTTAAAACGCACCATACAAATTGACTTGCCTTATAAGACAAGCATTAGCATTAGCATATTGTATTAGTGAGTCACTGGTCTCACTAATACAACTCTGCAAAACAGACTGATTGTGTCTGCTTCTATAAGCAGCATGTGGTGTAGATTCAGAACTGGAGCTTGTTCGAAACCTACAGATATGACAACACATTCTAATGATTAAAAATTGTAATATGCACCAGTATTTGCTGCAGCAAACGAATCTGTGTGGTACGGATTTATAAGTCGGCTGTGAAGGCATCATTTACCTGCATCAGTGCCAAGTAAAATAATAAATAAAAAATAAATAAAATAAAAAACCACACATTTCTAAAAATGTCCGGTTCATTTTTTTTATTTTATTAACGACAGTCTTCAGTTTGCGCATTTAAATGTACTTATAGCCATTATATACTTTCGCCGTTAACCCGGATGTGTATAATTTTTTACTTCCGCTCAGAGCTCATTGAGCAAAGATGGCGAGCAGTGGGGTGTCGGTGGCTTCGCTGTGGACTGAAGTGAATCGTTGTGGACAGAATGGGGACTACACAAGGGCTCTGAAAGCTTTGACTAAACGTAGGAAATAATGTCTGTCAACATTATTCTCAAACAGAGCCGGAGTTGTGGTCAGACAGTAGATGTCTGTCCATGTCTTCACATACATGACCGGCTGTTAGCATGTGTCTAGGCTAATGACGTTTAGACAGCTAACTACTTCTGGGATCTCATAAACACCGACTTATCATTGTGTATTAAACTACTGTTTATACTTGCGTACTTAAGGGATGTGACTAAAAATAAAGTTAGTTTCTGTGTGTTTATATGTTATAATGGAAAAAAAATATTTTGGCCCAGAAATGTGCCGTCTTCTGAATACTGACGTGGCCCTAGCCTAGCAGCTAACAGCTAATCATAATTCAGTCTGTAGAAACGTGCAGAGACTGTTTAACGTTACTTGTTTGGTGTTACTTTTTGTTTATCCCGTTTTCAGACAGTTCATTAACTGTGTGGTTGACGTCCATTCTATCTGAAATACTGAGTGCTTTCTGATATATTTTCTCTTCTGTTGCAGTTTTGCACGAAAACAGAGACGATGTGACGGCCCTCCACTGTAGAATCGTTTGCCTTATCCAGAATGGAAGCTTTAAAGAGGCTCTGAATGTCATGAACACACATTCAAAAACGCTCGGCAGGTAAACAACAAGTTGTCACTCTCATGTATTTATGTCCTTGACTGTTTACATTCTCTGTTTGCACATGCATAATTGCACAATGACTGTTTACTGCACATGCTGCTCCCATGCAGCATACATTCTGTTATATTCTTATATATTTATTATATTGCTGCATCATGTGGACGGCAAAGTAAGAATTTGATTGTACATGGAAACACGTTTCCTAACTGTGTATATGACAAACACTTTGAACTTGAACTTGTCTGTAACACCTACATGTAACATGCAGGGTAGTTGCCGGTTTTAAAGTTTTTCTAATATGTCAATAAAGCAGTTTAAAAGTCTTGCACTTATTTTACAAATATTTTTTTATCTTGCTGTAGGCTGCAATGTTTCTGGAAAGTCTCCAGTATATCACATTTCTCCAGAAATGTGATACATAATAAATTCACACACTTGGTGAAAGTTGTCGGCCTTATCATCCTAGTTTTTATTCATACTTTTGCTGGTATGATTGTGTAACAGGTATAACATTGCATTAAAAAGGTTTTAAAAAGTGTTCAATTTAAGTTGGTGACCCTAATGAAACGTAGCAGTATTAAATGTCTTCTTAATATTGGTATAGAACTATTATCTGATTAGTAGACTAACAAAATGAATTGGTAAAAGTTGTGATAATCAATTAATTGACGTAGTTTTTAATCAGTTATTTAAAAAAAAACTTTCTTTGGTGCCAGCTTTTCAAGTGTGAGGATTTACTCACTCTTATTAGTTGTGAATAGGTTATCTTTGACTTTTGATCAGACAAAATTAAATGTTGACCGTTTATAGATGATGTGATTTATCATTTTGTCAATTTCTATTTTATTTGTGGAGTATACTCTTACACAAAAACACATTGCAGTATTTTTTAGAATGATAAAACAGTAGGAAATAAGTTGTAAGCCAGATACATTTGTAAACTATAGAAAGCAAAAATGGCTTGAATCTTACTCTTTGCAGAAAGGCTGTGTTATACTTTAGGAGAAGCTCTGTGTGGTGTGAGCAAATTGAAGTACTGATGCATCAGTTGTTGAAAACAAGTCATAGTTCCATCCCTACTTGATATGAAACCATGTCATTTGTTTAATGCTGTTACCAAAACTTTTTCAAAGCTTGTTTCTTGTGTTACACATTGGACTAACACACTGCTTGCTACATGTCATGTACTCCTGTACTGTCTGCCTGTTACAATGTCTTTTATTTCTCTTGTCCCTCAGCGAGGTTGTGTTTGAGAAGGCGTACTGCGAGTACAGACTGAACAGAGTGGAAAACGCCGTGAAGACCATTGAAGGTGCTCCTGAGCAGACAGATAAACTGAAGGAGCTCTACGGTCAAGTGGTAAGGCTGTTTGACCGGTCGCTGATTTATAACATTACTGAATACAGTTTTATAGGACTGTTTGGATGGAAGAAGACAGTGTTTGTGCCCACCACAGTGTTGGTTTAAGTATCACACAAGAGAACACAGATTGTCTATATGAACTGGAGAATGACTGATATGAGCTTGTTAAGCAGCTGAAATATGTGTGTAATATTTTTTAATTTAACCATATCTTTTACAGAATTCTTACAAATGATAAAGACTGTTTGAAGCAGCATTTGGACAGTGATGGACACTGAAACGCGCCTTTGAAACCTTTGAAAGTAAAGGCCTCTGCTGATGGGATTTGTGTCTTTCTTATCATTGTGCAGTTGTACAGACTGGAACGATATGACGACTGCAAGTCCGTCTACACTGATCTGATCAGGAACTCCCAGGATGAGTATGAGGAGGAGAGGAAGACCAACCTTTCTGCTGTGGTGGCTGCGATGAGTCAGTGGGAGAAGGCCCCACAGGTAAATGCTTCTCTAGAAAATGTACATTTTAGGCTTTTTGCTGATACTGTTGTGTACTGCTGTTTTATGATTTCTTTGAAAAATTACTTCTGAACCACCTTCAAAAAAAGTTGACATTCCTTTACACCAAGCAAGTTTCAGGTGGAGCTGTCACAACACAGAACTGGAATCAGATGGGTTTTTGATTTGGATTTGTTAGAAAACTTAATTATGGCTCAGCACCAGGGAATTTTCTATTGACCGACTGACTTCTGGCTTTAAGATGATGTGTTTTACTCGCCCTCTGTAGGAAGATCTAGGTCTTCCCGAGTCCACATATGAGCTGTGTTACAACGCTGCCTGCACTCTGACTGGACAAGGACAACTTACAGAGGCCTTCAATAAACTACGACAAGCAGAGGGTCAGTCTGTTTACAGTTGGTCTTCCCTCTCAAGTTGCTATCTTATTTATTCTTGGCTTGATATGACATGATTGATGTTTTTTTTTTCTTTTTTCTCAGAGCTTTGCAGAGTTTCTTTGGCAGAAGATTCTGTAAGTCTTATTACCTTTCATCAGTACTGAGAGATACTTCTGAAATCATAATGACACATTGTATGTTTTTGTGTGTTGATCTTGTAAACTCTGACAGTGTGTTCATATAGAAGACCTTGGTTGTTTTTAGGGGCTGATAAAGGCACAAACAGTTTTGAAATCAGTTTGTAAAACACAGCATCAGACTACAGCAGGCCAGTCAAAACCTTCAGATGACAGAAAACTGAAATGCAAATGTGGATGAGAAAGCATCATATAATACTGAATCAGTCAATATTACAGTGGGTACAGAAAGTATTCAGACCCCCTTAAATTTTTCACTCTTTTTCAGTTTTTTTTTTTTAATAAATCTGAAAAAATGTCAAAAATTCTGTGTTTTTCTGTCAATATGGGGTGCTGTGTGTACATTAATGAGGAAAAAAATGAACTTAAATGACTTTAGCATATGGCTGCAATATAACAAAGAGTGAAACATTTAAGGGGGTCTGAATACTTTCCGTACTCACTGTATATCAAACAGTCATGGCTGTAGTAAATATTAATATCCGTCCCCATGAATGTCTTAATTACCACGTGTCATGTTTAGCAGCTGGCTTTTTACTGGTCCCACAATGATCACTGTCATCGCTGCTTGTTCGCTTGCAGGATATGACTGAAGAGGATGTCGAGTCTGAGTTAGCTGTGATCCACTCTCAGATGGCGTATATCATGCAGTTACAGGGTCGGACGGACGAAGCTCTGCAGCTCTACAACCAGGTCATCAAGCTAAAGTAAGTCCAGTGCTCATCGTGTTAAATTTAGCCTGAAAAAAAAAGATAGAACTGTGAATACGTGTGAATGAACAAAGGCAGCAGTTTAACAGACATTGCCAAGGCCATTTTCACACCTCATAATGTACTGTAACTGATTTGATTGCAGACCATCCGATGTGGGGCTCCTTGCTGTGACTGCCAACAATATCATCACAATAAATAAGGTGGGTGGATGGCAGGCTTTGCTAGTGATGGGCCGATCCACATTTTTTTCAGTTCCGATCCAATACACAAGACCTTTTTGACATTTCCAGACTAAAATATCTCCAAGCAAACAACGTTTTAGTCAAACCAACAATTAATGTTATTTGCTCACTTGGTTACAGAATAAAGTTGCTGCAAGTTTATGGAAAGATGTGGAATAGAATCTGGATCGGTGACGTGTCTCACGTTATGCTAGGTTACTGCATGCTCATGGTCCAGCACAAGTTGCGGACTGGAATATGGATCAGTAAGTGGATCGGCCCTGTCCATCCAAAATCCAATGAGTGAATGACACCAATATTGGACCCGATACTGATATAGGGTCAGATCGGGCCCATCTCTAAACCACTATGTGTATATAAATTCTTTCCAACTGGAGCAAAAGAAGATTTCATTAACATACTGCCTGTTTACACAGGACCAAAATGTGTTTGACTCAAAGAAAAAGGTGAAACTGATGAATGCTGAAGGTGTCGAATACAAGCTTTCAAAGAAGCAGCTTCAGGCCATCGACTTCAACAAAGCTCTCCTGGCCATGTACACTAACCAGGTAAACTGATGGCGAGGATACAGTAATGACTGAATAATTCCATAATTTTAGATTTCATTACTGACTATGGCCAGACACTGTTTGCTGTCAACAGGCTGACCAGTGCAGGAAACTGATGTCAAGTCTTCAGTCCCAGAACCCAGGTCACCCTCGGCCAGTCCTCATCCAGGTTGCTCAACTGTGCAGGGAAAAGCAGCACAGCAAGGCCATAGAGCTGCTCCAGGTAGATATGACAGCATTGCGGGTTGTTGTCACAGCCTAAAAACTAACGCAGTGCTCCTACATTACTCTCTGGTTATTGAAAACTCCAGGGGTAAAGTAAGGTATCAACTCTGCTTAACCTGTTTGTACTAAAAGTATGTGTACATAAAAGTTTTGTCAAACACTTAAACACTCAGCAATAACCAATTGTTTGATCTGTGAAGTAGGAGTCTATAAAACGATTTAGATTATGACAGCAGTGTTTGCATTCAGTAACTTGTGGCCATTCTGACTGGTTTGGTTTCCAGCAATTCTCAGATCAGCATCCAGAGAGTGGATCTGCCATCAAACTGACAATGGCACAACTCTACTTAGTACAAGGTACTGATGTGTTTTCACATAGATGATGGGTTTAGATTCTAAAGACACACATGAATGTCTGTCAAATAAAAGCATATTATATTAGGGATGCACTGATACCAGTATTGGGTCCAGTGCCACCCTCTAGTACTCACAAAAGTTGTCCGATACTACGCACCGATACCAGTTAACGGCAGCATTACTTTAACTTCACGCTGGCTGAGCCAGTTGTTAGGTGGTAGAGAAGAGATTTCAGTGGTTTGTGGATATTTTAAGTTAAGTGAAATATTGCATTGTTACTAAGTACTATATCAGTACTCTGTATTGGCAAATACTAAAATGTAAGTACTAGTACTTGGTGTGGGGGAAAAAAAGTGGTATCGGTGCATCCCTATATTTTCTGGTTTGAATAGTTTAGTCAGTTTTTGTAGATATCACATCATCATCATCATCATCGCTTAAATTCATGTGCAAGAAGAAAGTACAACGTCTACTGGGAGATTATGACACGTCAAACTGTCTTTTCAGCCAAAAGCTTTAGTTTCTAGTGATTTAACAGTGATAATGCAGGTGACATCAGGGCACAGGGACTGAATTTGTGCCAGACTGCTGCCTTCGGGGACCAACATGATGAAGAACCTGTTTTGGTCCTCAGGTCACGTAACAAAAGCCTGTGATGTCCTGAGGTCCACTGAACAGTTCAAGCACAAACCAGGGATGGTGAGTCTGAAATGAAAACGGTAACAGTGGAGTTTGGATTTTTGACCTGTTCTGTTTTAAAAGTGGTCAAAAAGTCTGTCTCTAACACACGAGCTGGTGTTAACGCAGAACTCAGATGTAGCTTCAGTCATGTCTCAGATCATCCAGCTAAACTGTGCCTTGGACTCCTCAGGTCTCAGCTCTGGTAACGATGTACTCCCACGAAGAAGACATTGACAGTGCCATAGACGTTTTCAAAGAAGCTATTGAACACTATCAGTCTGAACAGGTTTGTATCCACTGCTTTCTTTTTAATGGCAGATTTAACATGTGCATCATCACTTACATCAAGATGATCCAGAGACAAACAGCAAAATCTGCAGCGTCTTCACACCAAAGACCGGCTCTGTTGCTGATAGAGTACAGTACAGTACGAGTAGAGTACTAGAGGGTGGTATTGGACTCAATACTAGTATCCACATCGGTGCGTCCCTAATTCAATCCATCTGTTTTAAGAAGAATTGTGACTGCAATAATGAGTATTTCTTAGTTTTCCCATCATACTGAAACAGGTTTAACATTTTATCTTATGTTTTACTAAGAAGATCTTTGAAAATTGAACTTGGCAAGCCCTGCAGAAATCCTGCAATTTGTTTTGAGTAAACTGAAAAAGAAGTAGGCAATATGAGCCACTGGATTTGATTGGCAGGCTGTTAACGAGGAAATGCAGTGTGACTAGACATTTTAAAATCACCTGTAGCATTGCTGTTTGATAAAAGCCAAGCATCACGTTCACGTTTCCTGTGTTTAATCATCCTGTTCCTCTGCAGCCTGGATCTGCTGTACACCTGGCTCTTGTACGGGAAGCCGCCAACTACAAACTGAAGTACGGACGGAAAAAAGAAGCTACTAGCGACCTGGAGCAGCTGTGGAAGTGAGTCAATGTGTGTGAAGTATTTGGGCGGAACAAAAACACACAGTGAGCTCGTGTTATCTCACAGCTGGTGATTCTGCTTTTTTATTCAGTCGTCCTGTCAGTGTGATGTCTGGTAGCTCAAACGTTTATCAGGCTCCAAAGCAGCTTGATAAACATCACCACAATGTGCTTATAGAGCAGAAGAAATGTTATAAAATGAGAAATAATACTTATTTACACTTTTATTTGGCACATTTGTGAGTGTCAGTGATGTCAGGATGGTGTTTGTACAACAGTCCTTGGAGTTTCTTACAGCGGGGGAGCTTTTTTCTTCTTCTTGAAACAGGCAAAACACCAACGACATCCACACACTGGCACAACTCATCTCGGCGTATTCCCTGGTGGACACAGACAAAGCCAAGTCGTATCCTTTTGCCTACTGAAACAGCTGAACTTGGAAGACACTAGAGCTGAGACATTAAATGATTAATAAATTAAAAATAAAATATTTTTATGCTTTCTATTATCTTAAAATATTTTTTTAAGCAAAAAATCTGAGCATCCAGTCTGAGATCAGCTTGCTGAGCAACAGATGTGTCCTTTTCTTTTCATTTCATATATGCTACACACAGAAAAGCCCTTAACGTTCCTCTACAGGCTCAGCAAGCATCTACCATCCGCAGACACCATGTCCTTCAACGTGGACGTGGACGAGCTGGAGAACTCTCACGGAGCCACATATGTCAGGAAAAAGGCTGCGAAAGTCACTGGAGAAAACCTTCCCAAAGAACCAGGGTAAACCCTGCCTTACTGCTCCACAGTGTCCACAGTAGTTTCTGCTTCAGTCCGGTGTTTTACACTGATATTCAGGTACAGCGACAACACTCATCTTCTTTGTTTGCGTTCTTTTTACAGCCAAGGCGAGATCAAGAAGAAGAAGAAGAAAAAGAAAGGTAAGGATGTGCTTATGGAGGAGGGAAGTAAAACAAAGGATTACTATTGAAGCAGATTTTACAGTTAAAATGTCCATAAAATAGTTTCATAATCTCAAACCTCTGGAGAATCAATAGGAATTTTAACAGTAGAAGTTTTA